AAGCCACTAGCCAATCAGAATATGGCTTCAAGCCACTAACCAATCAAATGTTACCTCCTCATCTCAGTCCTCACCCAAGACTCCCTAGTAACAGCAAGAATGAAACATAAGGAGAGAAGTGCAGCTAATCCAGAGAAGACTCGTGCCGTGATTTTGACAGCCTTGACAATCGACAGCTGACTTCCTCTAGAGTCTCCCACACACAACCTTCCATGTGATTTGTGCTTTAATTCATCCCTTACTTCATTTTGAATAAGATTGTGTTTTTATGGCCCTTTAGTTTTTGTATTCTAGATTAGAAAAATTAGTCTCTAAAAAATGGGCTTGGGGTTGGATTGCAGGAGGCCAAGGGTAGATCTCTGGGTCGGGAAGATCCCCTGGAGAAGGAAATAGCAACCCATTCCAATATCCTTGCATGAAAAATCCCATGGACAGAGAAGCTTGGCGGGTCATGGGTCATAAGAGTCGGACACGACCTAGCAACTAAACCACCACCACCATGTTTTTATTGTTCTTTACTTTTTGCATTCTAGATTAGTAAAACTAGTCTCTAAAAAATGGGCTTGAGGTAGGTCATACGTGAAATCAATGTTACTAAAACGTCATGAGAAGAGTGTCATACAAACAATGAGGCTTCTTTTAAAGAATTTTCTTGCTGTGACTTCTGAAAATTAATTGTGTAAGCTGCAAGACTGGAATGGCCAACTATACGTTAGTTCCCCTAGAGTAAGAATGTAGGGGATAGGATTTCCTATAGCACCTAGAACAATGCTGAAAATTTTCTCAAAACAATGAGGGAAATGTGGAAGGACCTGTTTTAAACATCAGTGCTGTTTCCCCTTGTGGAGGAGATGAAAGACCCCTGTTGAGGAAGGGGTTCTGGATAGATGGCCTGACAGCAAGAACCCACCATGCCAGGTAGGAAAGGAAAAGGCCAAGAGAAAGGTTTTCACCTTTCTCCATCTAATCTCATCTTTCTCAGTTTACTACTATCATCACTTTTCTTCTCCTTCCCACTCTTTTGAAAACTTAAAAATTGTGAGGAATAAAACACATGATCAGAAAGCGGCAAAGGATACATTTATATCTCACTAAGTTTTTCCAGTGGTCATGTATGGACGTGAGAGTTGGACTGTGAAGAAAGCTGAGCGCCGAAAAATTGATGGTTTTGAACTGTGGTGTTGGAGAAGACTCTTGAGAGTCCCTTGGACTGCTAGGAGATCCAACCAGTCCATCCTGAAGGAGATAAGTCCCGGGTCATTGGAAGGACTGATGCTGAAGCTGAAACTCCAATACTTTGGCCACCTCATGCGAAAAGCCGACTCATTGAAAAAGACCCTGATGCTGGGAGGGATTGGGGGCAGGAGGAGAAGGGGATGACAGAGGATGAGATGGCTGGATGGCATCACCGACTCGATGGGCATGAGTTTGAGTAAACTCCAGGAGTTGGTGATGGACAGGGAGGCCTGGCGTGCTGCAATTCATGCGGTCGCAAAGAGTCGGACGACTGAGCAACTGAACTGAACTGAACTGAAGTTTTAACAAAGGAAACGTTTGCATAATTACCACTTAGTTCAAGAATCAGAACACTGTCAGCCCTTTAAAGTCCTACCTACGGGACTTCCCCGGCAGTCCAGTGGTTACAAATCTGCCTTCCAATGCAGGGGATGTGGGTTTGATCCCTGGTTGGGGAAACAAGATCCCACAAGTCACCCTGCAACTGGAGAAGCCCACGTACTGCGACAAAAAGATTCTGCATGCAGAAAGGAAGATCCCATCTGCCGATACTAAAACCAGATGCAGCCAAATGAATAAGTAAATATTAAATACAAAACAAAAAACCCTACTGGTGACTGGTCCCAGTCACTAAGATTTTCCTTCTCCCCAAAGGCACTACCTTCACTTCAACATTATGATTTCATTTTGCCTACTTTTGAACAATCTGTAAAGTCAATTTTATAGTAAATAGTCCTTGGAACTTCCGTCTTTCACAGTCTTCCTGGAGGTACATTATTGAATTACACAAACAGGGAAGCGTTCAAACAAAAAATAGTATAGCTTGATGAATTGTTCATAAACCCAACCTAGATATGCAACCAGCACCCAGATGAAGAATCAGCATCAGCAAGCCCCTTTCTGTCCCCTTTTAGTCACTGTCCCTCCACTGTCCTAAATTCCAACACTATATATCAATTTTGCCTATTTTTAAATGTATATATGTGCAAACATACAGTATATATTCTTTTCTGTCTAGCTTCTTTTGCTCGACTTTGTGAGATTCATCTGAGTTGTTTCATGTAGTTTTGGATCATTCATTCTCTTTGGTGTTTTGTATTCCATCATATAAATATACAAATTTGATTGTCTATTCTAGTGCAGGTGGACATTTGTGTTGCTTTTCAGTTTTCAGTCATTACAAATAGTGTTTGTTATGAATATTATTGTACATGTCTTTTAGTGAACACACACATACATATATATGTATGCATTTCTGTTGGTTATATGCTTTGTTGGAGTGGGATTCCCAGGTCATAGACTCTGAGGCTGTTCAGCTTTACTAGATAGTGCCAAGCAGTATTTCAGAGTGGTCATCCCAATTTACACTCCCACTTGCAGTGTATGTTCCACCTGTTCCATCCCTTGGCTTGCAGCTGCATGACTCCATTTCTGCCTTCAGCATCACATGGCATTCTGTGTACTGTCTTCAAATGGCCATCTTATAAGGACACTTTAGATGGGGGCCCATCCTACTCCAGTATGACGTCATCTTAATAAACTACATCTGCGACAAACCTATTTCCAAATAAGGTTACATTCTGAGGTGCTGGGGGTGAGGACCTAAAAATCTTTTGGGGACGGGGGAGGAGGAACAAAATTCAACCCATAACAGATGTGATAGTAGTGAACATCTGTTCTTGACCTCAGTGGGAAAACTTTCAACTCTTCAGCATTGTGATGTCTGCTGTAGTTTTCTTAGTAAGTACTCTGTGTATAAGATCAAGGAAGTTTCCTTTTATTTCTGACTTGCAAACCTTTTTAAAAATTATAAATGGATGGGACTTCCCTGGTGGTTCAGTGGCTAACATACTGTGCTCCCCACGCAGGGGACCCGGGTTCCATCTCTGATCAGGAAACTAGATCCCACATGCCACACCTAAAGATCCTGCATGCTGCACCTATGACCTGATGCAGCCAAATTAATTAATTAAGTAAATATTTTTTAAAAAGTCATAAATGGAGAACTTCCCTGGTGGTTCAGTGGTTAAGAATCTGCCTGCCAATGCAGGGGACAGTGATTTGGTCCCTGGTCAGGGAAGATCCCACATGCAGCGTGGTAACGAAGCCCGTGTGACACAGCTGTGTGCCCGCACGCCTAAAGTTAAGGCTCCGCAACAGGAGAAGACACTGCAAGAAGCTTGTGCACGGCAACTAGAGAGAAGCCACTGCTTGCAACTAGAGAAAGTCTGCACACAGTGGGCCGCAAGGCAGCCAAAAAAAAACCCCAAAAAACAAAAACCCATAAATGGACATTGAAATTTATCACATTCTTTTTCTGCATCTAATGAGATGATTTTCTCATTACTCATACAAATCTTTCTCCTTAAGCCTGTTCTACAGGAAATTACATTTATTTCTATAGTTTTCAAGGAGAATTTCAATTGAAAATATGAAAACTACAAGTAAGTGGGTTTCTGAATTGGATAATGTTCTGTCTCTTGATCTCAACACAAGTGTGATTGGTTTGTGAAAATTCACTAAGCTGTATGTATGATTTGTAATTTTAGGTATGCACTTTATATTTCAATAACAATTAAAAGGAACACAACTAAATTTGTATTTGAGAATGAAATGCTCTTTCTTCTGAAGGATACTTAGTTGCCCCATTTTCTACTCACATTCACCTCCTAAGAGAGGTGAAGATCTGGGTCGCTGGGATGGAAGCAATGTCCAATCTTTAAGTGGCGCACAACTGACACATGGACACACTTAACAGTCTCACAGTTTTCTGTTTTGTTTTTCGGAATTCAGGGTGTATCAGTTTTGTTTTTCAGTGATTCATTCAAGCCAAAGGAGTTCCTGTTTAGTCTTACATGAGACTCGATTATTTTCTAAATCCAATCTAGTCCTCTCTGGACAATCTTGTTATCTGGCATTTACTCTCTTCCCCTTGGCTGATATTCTCCAAAGTAAATTTTTCTGCATTGAATTATTCTAAAGAATTCCCCTTCTCCGCTTTTACAATACCTGCAGGAATTGGTGAAGATTTACATTCTGTCTTCAGAATACATCTTCACAGATTTGTTCCCAATTGGATTTTTTGTTAGAACTGACTTAAGCCTATGCACTTAATTTGAGAACTGACATCTTTATACTTTTTCTTCTTTTCATTCAGAACCATGGTAAACCTCTCCATTATTTCAAGTCTAATTTTATTCCATTCGGATATGATTCGCTACGGTTCTGTAGTTTCCTTTATATAGATTCTACATATTTCTTTTTAGTGTTAGTCCTACCTGCTTCACAGGTTGGGTTTTTTTTTTTTATTTTTGCTGTTGTCGCGATCGTTGCTATTGTGAATGGAACCTTTTTTTTTTCTCCATTCAAAAATGAACCCGTAGAGCGATAGGATCTCTACCACCGTTTTCAGCGAGGAGACTCTATGGTTCTACGGTAATCTTCTACTCGCCCCGACATTATCCTAACCGGAAGAAAGATGGCAACCGAGAGTCATTGAGGACGGGGCCGCTCTATCTCGCCTTTGTTCTCCTCTCTGTGGCCACTGCGCAGGCGTAGTCGCGCTCGTACGTCCCCCCACCAACCTTCCCGGTCGCGGGCCCAGCTCGGTAGCGCCGGCGCACTGGCGCGCTCGGTTTACACGCTCCGGGGCCTGTAGGCGCCGCGAGTTCCGGCTATCGCCGCCGCCGCCGCCGCAGCTCCTGGAGGGTCGGTTGCGACGAGTAACGGCGCCGGGACGAGCGCCGCGCCCTTCTTCTCCCGATATGTATCCGAATTGGGGCCGCTATGGCGGGAGCAGCCACTACCCGCCGCCGCCGCCGGTCCCGCCGCCGCCTCCGGTGGCGCTTCCTGAGGCCTCGCCGGGGCCCGGGTACTCGAGCTCGACGACTCCCGCCGCTCCCTCCTCCTCCGGCTTCATGAGCTTCCGCGAGCAGCACTTGGCTCAGCTCCAGCAGCTGCAGCAGATGCACCAGAAGCAGATGCAGTGCGTGCTGCAGCCCCATCACCTCCCGCCGCCCCCGCTGCCGCCCCCGCCGGGGATGCCGGGGGGCGGCTACGGGGACTGGCAGCCGCCGCCGCCGCCGATGCCCCCGCCGCCCGGGCCGGCCCTCAGCTATCAGAAGCAGCAGCAGTACAAGCATCAGATGCTCCACCACCACCGAGACGGGCCTCCTGGTCTGGTCCCCATGGAGCTGGATTCCCCCCCGGCGTCGCCGCCGGTGCCGCCGGCGTCCTACCTGCCCCCGTCTCAGCCCTACCTGCCCCCGCCTCAGCCGCCGCCCTCGTACTACCCTCCGGCCTCCTCTCAGCCCTACCTGCCCCCCGCCCAGCCGTCCCCTTCCCAGTCCCCGCCGTCCCCGTCCTACCTGGCGCCCACGCCGTCCTACTCCTCCTCTTCGTCCTCCTCGCAGTCCTACATGAGCCATTCGCAGTCCTATTTGCCCTCGTCTCAGGCATCTCCTTCCCGCCCTTCCCAGGGCCATTCTAAACCCCAGCTGCTGGCCCCGCCACCGCCGTCCGCCCCTCCTGGGAATAAGACAACTGTCCAGCAGGAACCTTTGGAGAGTGGGGCCAAGAACACGAGCGCTGAGCAGCAGCAAGCCGCCCCTGAGCCAGACCCCTCTACGATGACTCCGCAGGTAAGAAAGCTCCCGCCCAGAGTTGAGTCTCTCACCTCGAGGGCCCTAAGTGAGCTGGCCCCGGGGTCAACGCCTAGTGCTTGGCCTGATTCCGCCCCCCCCCCCCCCCCACAACGATAACGAGCAAATCTACACTCCAAAGGATTTCACAGAAGCCGGGGATCTGACACCCCCAGCCTTTTTATCTGCTAAACGTGGGTTATTAGAACAGTGTTTGAGGATGTTTCTAGACACCAGAGTAATTGGGTGGATCAAGAGTTAGTTCCCAGATGCATTCTTTGATTTCCTTTAACCAGCCTTTTAGGTTTTGTTGCTGTTGCTAAGGGCCTTCCCCCCCCTCCCGCCCCGCCGAATTGTAACTTAAAATTGTATTTGAAAGGCAGCGTAAAAAAAAAGGAGCTTCTCAAAGGGCTGACACTTGAAATGAATATAAATCTTATGACCAGTTAGCTCCTTTAAAAGAAAGTTAAGGGCCACTAATAGCTGTCAATTTCCTGAGTTAATCTCAGCAAATGAAGGATGGGAATCTTGTTCTAATCAGGAACATCCTAATTGTGTTCATAGATATATATGCCATACCTAGGGAAGTCTACATATTTGACCTTTTTGGGAGTCTATACCCATACCTCCCTTTTCTCACATCACTTAAAGATAGTTTTAAGACATGACCAATTTGCTGCATTTCATTATTGTTACCATTTACTCCAGAGTAACAGCCTTGGAATTTGGCCAAGTTGTTAAAAAAAAAAAAAAAAAAGAAAAGTTTTCATGACATCTCTCCATTCTTGAGAGAGCTCTTCTCAACTTCTGTTTGAAGTGATGCTTCCATGTCAAAGATTGATAGAGTAGCAGTAATAAATGAATTCATTTCTTAAGAAAAACGAAGTGGAAGAAATCATTTGATTTCTTAAAATAGACACTTTTAGCAATTCCTAATCTACCTAGATTCCCTAATGAAAAGAGAATCTTTTAATCTACAAACTCAGATTTGCATATAAAAGATTTCCGAAAGATGGGAATGCAGTATTCTAATTTTACAGTGGTTTGGCATTAGAGATTAAGAAAAGAAATGGAGTTGTTTTAAGTAAGTAATATGTTGTGCTTGGCACATCATCAGGAGAAAACAGCTGAGATGCTGGGGTAAAACATTAGAGTGAGAGATTGTGTTAGCTTACACCAAATTAGTACCATCCCTCAGGTTGTTTCCTCAGATTCCTCTATTATAGAGACAGATTTCTCCTCCTTTACCACCCCTCTCTGAAATTTCCAGTTTGTTTTTTTTTTTTTTTTTGGTTGTTGTTTTTTTTGCCAACCATTCTCAGAGTTAGTCCAAGCCAAAATATGACATTTATATTCTCATCTCTACTAGACTTTTTCTGGCCTTTTAGAGAGACAAACGAATTGGGGGTTTTTTGATAGTGGTGGGGGCGGATCAAGCCAGTCCTTAATATAAACATGAACACTGCTTTTGTACCCTTGTCTGTGGTGAACATCTTTAGTGCTTTGACTATTCAGTGCCTCAAATTCTTTGATGACAGCCAGAAAGAAAGTGGTGGAAGATGAGATTTGAGAGGTGTGAATGGATCAGAACAAGAAGGCCCTTGCTAAGCCTCTTAAGGTGGTTTTTTTTTTTTTTTAAACCTCTCTCTAGAATTTGTCCCAACTTCTTCAGCCCTCTGATATCAGGCTGTCTATGAAGCTGTGCCTCAGCTTACCCATGTGGTTTGGTTCTGTTCTGTTCAAATTATAAGTCCTTTGCAGAAAGAGACTGTCTCACCTTTTTTTTTTTAATTTTTATTTTTAATTGAAGGATAATTGCTTTATAATGTTGTGTTGGTTTCTGCCATACAGTAATGTGTATCAGCCATAAGTATACATATGTCCCCTCCCTCTTGAAATTCCCTCCACTCCCACCCCAACCCACCCCTCTAGGTTGTTACCTAGAGCACTGGGTTGAGCTTCCCGTGTTATACAGTAACTTACCACTAGCTGTCTGTTTTACATATGATAATGTGTGTATGATAAAGTGTGCTACTCTTTCAATTTGTCCCACCCTCTCCTTCCCCCTGTGTCCAAAAGTCTCTTCTTTATGTTCACCTTTTTATCCCCTGTAGCACCTAGGACAGTGCCTTGCAAATTGTCGGCTTCCCACAAAGATGTGTTGAGTAAGATACAAGAGTTTTCATGTTCTAGACTTAGGATACTTTGGTTCATTAGATAACAAACATTTTCTTCATGACAGTGCCAATCTCTGACAATTAACCCTTCTTTGTTGATTCATAGTTTGTTTTTGGAGTATGTCATCAAAAATTTTTTTATGGTGAAAGATTTTAAATATGCACAAAAGTAGAGAAAATACTATGATCTCCCCCCCCCCATACCCATCACTCAGATTCAACAAGTATCAAGATTTTGCCATGTATGCTTTACCTAGGCCTTTATTGTGGTTCTTGCTGAAATAGTTTTACATGACTCTTATATCTCATGTCATTTCTTTCCTGCACTTTTATTAATTGACATCTTTTTTTTTTAAGGACTTTTTTCTAAGGTAAACACACATTATAACACCTGACAAAATTAACAGGTTTCTATCAAACATCTAATACTTGACCTATTTACATTTCCCCTATTGTCTCATCATACTAATGAAAATAATTCCTTGGATTTATCCATGTTAAAATTCCCAACTGGACTCAATAATGTTTTGAGGGCTTGTTCAAATTGGGATTCAGTTGAGGCATTTTTGGGCAGAATAATTTTGTTGTAGCGCTGTATTGTGCATTGCAGGATGTTTAGCAGCCTCTCCCTGCTAGATGCCAGTAGCAGCACCTGGTTGTGAAAACCAAAAATATTTCTGGATGTTGCCAAATATCCTAGGGGCAAAATCACTCTCCCTTAAGAACACCCTGATTTAGGTCAGTCTCTCCTAGTCTCTTTTTCTGCTCCTGCCATTGATCTTGATGAAAAATCTATGTTGGTTGTCCTAGAGAATGTCCCACGTTCTGAGTTTGTCTGCTGTCTCATAGTGTTGTTTGGCTGGTTCCTCTCTCTCTCCCATGCGTTTTGTAAACTAGACATTAACCATGAAACCCTCTTCGGTTTAAGTTCACCTTTTGGCAAGGGGACTTTGTAACTAGGGAGCGCTGTGTACTTCTTTGGCATCCCATCAGGAGGCACTCAATACCTGATTGCCCCATAGTGGTGCCAAGATTGCTCAGGGCGTGACAGTCCAGTTCCTCCGCTGTAAAGCTTCCCGTAAATAGTGCTTCATCCATTGATGGTCTTTGAGTAAATCATTTCTTAATTAGAGGTCACAATGTGGTGATTTTTTTCTGCCATTTCTTCTACATTTACCATCAGGCATTTCATAAAGAAACACTTTTATCACTCATAAACTAGGGCTATTTGATTGGAAATGCAGTTAGCATATAAAGGATAAATGCTTGATAGTCTTCCATTTAATTTCTAGTTTTCATCATGAAGTGTTGATTTAATGGAATATGATTTTTTGAAGAATTAACTTTTCTCTGAGTTGAATGAAGTGGCTAGGTAAAATGCATACTGGTCTTTTATTTTTTCATGAATTGTAATGTATTTTTTTATTCTAAAAACTTAGGTAAAATTGTTGACTTTGATTAGAGTTTTTAGTCATTATTTAGTATTCAAATATTTGTTAACAACTGTGTGCCAAGAACTGTGCTTAGTACTGGAGATGAGATGGTGATCAAAATAGGCAAGGTACCTCCTCTCACTGAATTTATTCCAGTGGGAGAAAAAGACATTTAAAAAGTAATTAAGAGAAGTATAAAGTGCTGAGGAATTATAAAATAGAAAATATCACTAGACAGTGCCATAGGAATAGGAAAAGGTGACCTTTTTTAAGTTCACCATTGTAGTCACAGTGCCTTGCTCAGGGTCTAACACAGAGTAGATGAATAATAAATATTTTTTGAGTGATTGAGTATAGCTGGGAGCTCTAACCTCATTGAAGAGCTCTCCCTTTACAAGTAGTATTTAAATGAAATCTGAAGAAGGGTTAGGAAATAACCAGATAGGAGTTCAAAGAATTAAGTTCAGTAAGGTTGACTGAAAGGTCAAGGTGAGACTTCATCTTAAGGGTAGTAGGAAGCCATTGAAGGGTTTTATATGGGCCGTTGTGCCAGATTGGCCTTTTGAAAGTTCATTCTGCTTTGGGGAGAGTGGAGTTGAAAAGAACTAGAGTGATCTAGAGAGTGCTCCAGGCAGGAGTTAACAGTGGCTTGGACTTGGATGGTGATGGAAAAGGTGGAGAGAAGTGGAAAGACTGGAGAAATAGTTAGGTGCTAGAATCCAATTGGAGATTGAGTAGTAGTGGAGAGGGTGGCATCAGGGATGCTTCCTGGGTTTCTGAGATAGGAAACTGGGTGGATGATGGTTCCACATACTAATAGCCTACAGGAAAGGGAACAGCAGGTCTGGGGATGAAAAGAAAATGATGAGTTTAAGTTTTAGATTTACTGAGTTTAAGATCCTTGAGATAAAAGCTTCCAAATGGAGATGTCCGGTTGGAAGTTAGGTATGGGTTTGGATTCTAGGAGCCAGATCTGAGAGACGTGATGGACTTGTGAGTCATCAGCATAAAAATGATATTTGAAGGCACAGAAATGGATGAAGTCTCCTGAGGAGTGTGTTTAGAGCAAGAATCAAATTTAAAAGACATTGAGCCTAGCCCTGCAGAACCGCAGTATCTAAGGGAACCACTAGGAAGAGAGGCCGAATAAGTAGATGGAAAATCAGGACAGCGAAGTGCCATAGAAGTGAGAGGAAGACTGTTTCTAGGAGGAGAGAATGGTCAACTGTGTCATTGCTGAGAGGTCAAGCAAGATGAAGACTGTGAGTTATCTTTTGCATTTACTGACATGTAGATTATTGTTGACCTTGGCAGGAGCAGTTTCATAGTGACTGAAGCCATATTGCATTGATTTGAGGAGTGATGGAAGGTGAGGAAATGGGGATGGTGAGTATAGACAACTCTTTCAAGAAGTTTGACTGAAGGAGAGAGAGAATGTGGGCAGGAGCTGGAGGAAGAGGAAAGTAAAGGAGTTTTTTGTTTTTTCCCTAAAATGGGATGAAGATTATCTGGTGACCTTAATTCCTGAAATAGAGTGTGAACTTTAAAAATACTGTAAATAAATATATTTTAAGTAAATTTTTAAAATGGAAATCCATTTCATCATTTTACCAAGTCTCCTCTCCCCAAACCACTTGCTTTAGGATATGGCATTGAATATTTAGAGTTACAGGCATTTATGCTAATCAACCTGGATAGGAAAGGCAACTTTTCAGAATTAATCTTTAAAGCGTCACATACATATACACATATATTCATTCATTCATTCTCTCTCTGTTCCTCCTTCTTTATATTTCCCTACTTGGAGAATCACTCAGTATCTGGTTCCTTACTGTACTGGTAGCAAGTAGTCAGTGAGTACTTGCTGAATTAATTAGCATCTTTTTGGTAATGGTATTTGTGATGAATACATCCTTACTTTTTAACTCCAGTCTCTTTTTGAATGTGACATGTACTATGTTTTTCCTCTACGAATGACCTAACATCCTATATGAAATGAAGTTGTCTGATACAATGGGATATTCAGAAGAACTGGCTACTATTTCAGCTTCATTATCAAGTCCAGGCACATTTTTATTCGTTTCTTAAATAGAGATAAAGCAAGCAGCCTTCTCTGGGATCACTGAGGACATTTCTGAATGATTTCGTCATCATTCATTTGTAGAGCTTTAAAGATGTGCCAGAACCTTGTCCTAGGATTGAATTAGAACTGGGTTCTGCTTATTGGGTTCATATTAAATGGAAATAGACCTGCAGTGCATGCTATCCATAAACCAACAAGTACTTGAGTTCCTTACAATGTTCTTAACCTTAGACTAGGTCTAAGACAAAGATAGAAAGCATGAAAATAAGGTTGGTGCAGATTGATAAAGGATCTAGACCTGAAGAATCTTCATATCTATAGCCACTGGCTTCTAGTTTTAGGAAAGATGGTTTGCATCTTTGTATCTTTTGGTAATGCTTTCAAAGCAACTTTAAAAAGGGAAACTTTTAACTTCTACTTGAGAGAGTTTATTAAATTTTTTAAAGCCAAAAGATAAGTCTGTTTTTCAGTATTTTCATAGAATAATGGAAGAAAGTTAAAAATGTTCTAATACCACATTATTGTTGACTGTCATGGCAGTGTGATTTTTTTTTTCATGTTGGATAGCAAAAGTAATTATATTCCAGGAGCTGATGATTATGTGTATGATAATCAAAAAGAAAAAAAATCTAATTGTGACCCAAACTTCAAGATGGAGTTAGTGAGATGGCATTTATTCTTCCTAATGGATTGCAGCAAGTTTCGGATCATGGAAATTAGTAGCCTAGAAGAGAAGTGTTTAGCTGATCAGCAGTCACTTACTTTCTACTGTGTGCTCCAGCAGTGTGCTTAAACACCAGTAGGATATGAGAAAAGCATGAGACCTATCTCTCCCAAGAAAATTACATTCTGTGATTGAAAAAACTGATAACAAAACAGTATGTTTAGTGAGAAAAGAATATAATGTATATTTGCGTGTGGAAAATTAGGATATACAATAAAATAATAACAATATAGGAAATTCTGGTTATCCAAAGATAATGAATCCCAGTGAATTCAAGTAACATGAATCCGTTTAACACAGAACCAAAAGTTTATTGTAAAAAGTAAAAAAACCCCTTGATTTGGGACACAGTCTTGAAAAGTAAAGCTCAAAAATTGTAAAGAATAGCTGAATCTTAGAGTTTATAAAGAACAAAGAATAAAGATCAGGTTTCTGTACTGTAATTTTTGTGACAAAATTGTATGACAGCACTATACTGTCGTCATTTGTTTTTGGCTATGTTGAAAAAATATTTTAGGGATTTATACATTTTTCTAGGGACTTTTTTCCAACCTTTGATGTTCATACTCTTGCAGTTCCTGTTAAAAGCATTCTTTCTGGTTGTTAACTGGTAGTACTGCTCCATCCTCCCCTCCAGTATCATTTTCATAAAACCCTGCATCTTTATAATGGTAATAGAAGTATATGCTGTTGTTAATTATGGAAGTATATAGGGCAGTTTATTAGTGAATATTTTAGTGTTATGACAGCTTTTTTCCCCCTTATACAACCTTGTAACTGTGGGGAATTATATAACACTGGGAAAATGAAGATCCTGTAGTTATTTCTGAGTGCTGAGTTTTTTAAGTTGATTTTAATTATTATTTGTTTACTTATTTGTAGTTGAGTCTCTTTATTTGAGATGTTTTATGTTTTATTAAGTTTTCAAGAACACTGAATTAGTGAAATCTGAACCATTGCTCCTAGTTGGGAAATACAGGGTTAGGTGTCTGTGGGCCTTTGGTCACGTGGTTGATTCCATCAACCAGTCAGTACATAATTTTGTTTCATATGTGTTTCTGTTTAGACACCGTGTTTAATGTATACTGTTGGTTCATGAACATTGAACTCAGCAGCCGACAGCACTATAGCACACGCCTGAAGGAAGCTTATCCAGGACAAGTGCATTTTCTCCACAAGGCACACCACAGTCTTCTTGCACTTAGGACAGTAGACAGCAGTTCAGCGCTGTGCTTGGCGGTGGGGGGGCGGGGGGTGCATTTTAAATAGGAAAATCCTCAACAAAAAGTACAGAAATATGAAAAATGTGGCTTTAAAGAGACCTTGAAAAGAACACTCATTTACAATACAAGAGCTCAACAAAAAGGCCAGGCATGGCCATTTTCTGCCTCAGCTGGGAACACGCAGCTCAGGTAACTCAATTTTTTTGCCCATCTCTGAATGTCCACAAGTGACTGTGAAAGTTCCCTGAGCATTGATTTTGGAGTTAGGGATAAATTTTAGCAAATAGGCAATTCACAAATATAGAATCCATGAATAATGAGGATAGACTGTATCTTCTAATTTTTTTCCACATTAAACTTATTGTTGTAGTTTTTAGAAAGTGGAAGCACAACATAAGCATACAGAAAATCAAATTACAGTAATATTTGGAAGACAGAGTGAAACTTTTAAAATATACAGAAAGCATTCTGAAAGAATATATCCCGTGGTGTGGCAAGATTAATGACACAGGGCTCCCCTGGTGGCTCAGTGGTGAAGAATCTGCCTGCCAGTGCAGGGGCCACAACTTCAGCCCCTGGTCTGGTTAGATCCCACGTGTCACGGAACAGCTAAGCCCGTGCGCCACAGCTGTTGAGACTGCTCTAGAGCCCGGGAACCACAACTACTGAGCATCTGCGCTTCAACTACTAGAGCCTGTGCTCCACAACCGGAGAAGTCACCACAGCGAGAGGTCCACGCACTGCAGCTGCAGAAAAGCCTGCTTTGCAATACAGACCCGGCACAGCCAAAAATAAGTAAAAAAAATTAAAAGAAAAAGATTAATGATACAGCAGGGGCTTAAAAGAGGGAAGGACAATGCAAAAGAGAAGACTGAGAAAGGAGGTAGGGCTCTTTGGTTATATTCGCTAATCATGAGACCTCTATGGATAAAACTGAACAAACTAAAAGGCAAGTTAAAAACAAGTAGCTGTGAATACTAGAAGGATTTTCTCTGGTCGTTTATGAGAAAGACTGCTTTCACCTCCAAAAGCATGTTTGTTTGTTTGTTTGTTTTTAAGACAGTAGAGAAGTATATTGAATTAATATACATGGTTTAACTTCAGTTCAGTTCAATCGCTCAGTCGTGTCCGACTCTCTGCGACCCCATGAACCGTAGCATGCCAGGCCTCCCTGTCCATCACCAACTCCCGGAGTTTACCCAAACTCACGTCCATTGAGTCGGTGATGCCATCCAACCATCTCATCCTCTGTCGTCCCCTTCTCCTGGTTTAACTTAATTATATACATTTGGGGGGAAAATGGAAAGATATTGTTTATTTGCCTTTTTCAGTTCAGCTTTACCTTTTATTATGTATAAGTACGTGAACACAGACACAGATGTAGCTCTCTGTCAAAACCAAATTGCAGATATGTAGGATTGTCAACTAAAATTCTTAAAAAAAAATGGCTTCTCTTGTAGGAACAGCAGCAGTATTGGTATCGACAGCACCTGCTTAGTTTGCAGCAGAGGACAAAAGTGCATTTGCCAGGACACAAAAAGGGTCCTGTCGTAGCAAAGGATGCAGCTGAGCCAGTGAAAGAAGACGTTACTCTACCTGCCACCAGCCAAGTACCAGAACCCCCTGCATCTGAGGAGCCCCCGTTACCACCTGCTAATGAAGATGTAGCACCTCCTCTCCCACCCGAGGAGCCCCAGGTAACCATGAAGTTAATGACTTGGTATTTTTAAATTGTTCAGCTTTTTTTCTGATTCGTATGGATGTGTGTATGTATGTATGTACACATACCTTTGTTTTAAATGGATATTTTTTTTTCATTTTTTTTTAAGTTCATGTAAAATTTCTTCTGTGGAATAATCAGATGTATGCCTCAAGGGATTTAGAAAAGAACAGTTTTTTCAGGTTTAAGTGAAACTGAAGAATTAGACACTCTTCTGAATTGAGCATCTAAGCACTGAAGGGATGCCAGGGTGGATGTTTTTATGTTGACGGCACAGGGCAATAATGTAAGAGATTCAGCTGTATTGTCAAACTGCCTGGGCTGTAGTCCAGGCACTGCTTCTTACGGGTGGTGACTCTGAGCAAGTTAGTTCACCATTCTATGCTTCAATATCCTCATCTACAAAATGGGCATATTTAAATTGTAGCTTTTTTATAGAGCCAGTGAAGCATTAAATGTGAGTGATAATCCGTGAAGCTTAACCTACTGACTGGCACATGGAAAGTCCTCACATTGGTCCAAAGGTCTTTGTTCTCCCAAGAGCCTTACGTGGAAACATTAATGAAACATAATGATTACACTGTAGTCAGCTGGTGAAAAGTGACTAATGGTGAAAAAGAGGTTTCTCATATAGTGGAAAGGACACTAACTGTGGATTACTTTCTGCTGGGGAGATGGTTATCCTGTTTAGGAACAGTGAGGTGATTATTCTAGCAAAGACTGTGGGATTTGTAAATTCCTTTGTGTTAGTATTCATGATCACAGGATAAGACACTTAAGATTTTAACAGAGCTAAGTATTTTATCTAAAGATAGAATAGCTTTTCTCAGCCAGAGTTGCAGGGATTCTGGACTTTATGATACCATACTGTTATAGCATAATACTTTATTACATATTCAGGTTTCTTGTAACTTGGTTGCTGTTTATGACTTAGAAAAAAGCATATCCCCTCTTTCACCTTCAGTCTGAGGACCCGGAAGAAGATGCCAGGCTAAAGCAGTTGCAGGCTGCAGCTGCGCACTGGCAGCAGCACCAGCAGCATCGAGTTGGCTTCCAGTACCAGGGGATCATGCAGAAGCACACTCAGCTGCAGCAGATCCTGCAGCAGTACCAGCAGGCCATACAGCATCCCCCGCACATCCAGGTGAGCGCTTCCCCGGCACACGGGGGAGTCGTCCCAGGCGTTGAAGGGGGTTGTTTCTCATGAAAGAGGTTCAGGTGTGACAGAGGAAGAGGATCAGATGTTCCCCCTGGAGTGCCCACGTAGTTGTCACATTTGTCCCTTGTGGATTTTAAAAGGTAACACACTACTACTGTCTGTAAAATTGGTAAACACTAAGGACTTAGTGTAGAGCACAGGAAATTATATTCACTATCTTATAGTAACCTATAATGGAAAAGATTTTGAAAAAGAGTGTGTGTGTATATATATTATATACATATATATATATAGCCATGCACCTGATACACAATATTGTCAATTAACTAGACTTCAGTTTAAAAAAACACAGGGAATTCCCTGGCAGTCCAGTGGTTAGGACTCTGAGCTTTCACTGCTGAGAGTGTAGATTCAATTCCTGGTCAGGTAACTATGCCCGGCACCCCCCCCCGCCAGAAAAAAACAAAATAGAAAGAACCAGAACTTCCTATGTTGCTTCAAGTTAACCTGTGTTTTGCCTAAGAAAATGCAAGCAAAAATCTACCAACAGGATCAAAGCAACCACCCCAGAAAGTCTATGCAAATACACCACAAAAGATGAAGTGACTTAGATCCTTGTATGTCTTATATCTTTGAGGTATAAACATGTCTATAACAGATCATTTTCAGTTATAATATTAAAAGGATCTATAGTAATATTAAAAACTTGAAAAATACTGCTGAGATAGGCATTTGCTTTAGTGTTTAGTTGATTTTTTTTTTAAAGCATATCCTTTTATTTTTTAAAAAATTATTTATATTTGGCTATGCTGGGTCTTTGTTGCTGTGCAGGCTTTCTCTAGTTTTACAGAGGGCGGAGGCTACTCTAGTTGCGATACACGGGCTTCTCATTGCGGTGGCTTCTCTTGTTGCAGAGCACAGGCTCTAGGCGCATGGGTTTCAGCAGTTGCAGCACGAGCGCTCAGTAGTTGTGGCTCGTGGGATCTAGAGCACAGTCTCAGTAGTTGTGGCACGTGGGCTTTGTTGTGGGCATATGGGGTCTTCCCTGACCAGGGATCAAGCTCAGGTCCCCTGCGTTGGCAGGCAGATTTCTTACCCACTGCGCCAGCAGGGAAGTGCAGTTGATTTTTTTTCCGACTCTGTGATAACTTACATAATTAAGTTAAAAGGAGAAAGGTGAATGGTCACTATTGAAGGGATTTAACAAGCTTATCCTTAGCGTTCTTTAGTGCTGTGCTCCTAAGGCTTCAAGCGCCCTTGACTCCTTGATATTTCAGCTTAAAATTACTTCTCTCCTGTGAATGTCTTAAGAGTCATTTGCATCCCTCTGTTTGTAGACCATGTCCGTAGACGTGCAGATGCGGCACTACGAGATGCAGCAGCAGCAGTTCCAACACCTCTACCAAGAATGGGAACGGGAGTTTCAGCTGTGGGAGGAGCAGCTCCACTCCTACCCTCACAAAGATCAGCTCCAGGAGTATGAGAAGCAGTGGAAAACGTGGCAGGGACACATGAAAGCCACGCAGACCTATCTCCAGGACAAAGTCAGCGCACTTCAGAACGTGAAGAACCAGTACATGGGGAACATGTCCATGCCGCCCCCGTTTGTCCCCTATTCTCAGATGCCTCCGCCCCCACCAACGATGCCCCCGCCGGTATTGCCGCCGTCGCTGCCACCGCCAGTGATGCCCCCAGCCCTGCCAACGTCAGTCCCACCACCTGGCATGCCCCCACCCGTGATGCCACCGTCTCTACCGAGCTCTGTGCCCCCACCTGTGATGCCTCCGTCTCTTTCTTCCACGGGGCCACCGCCCGTCCTCCCCCCGCCTTCCCTGTCCTCGGCAGGGCCGCCGCCAGTCCTTCCACCACCTTCTCTGTCTTCGACCGCACCTCCCCCTGTCATGCCCCTTGCCCCGCTCTCTTCAGCCACACCTCCTCCAGGAATCCCTCCTCCCGGAGTTCCCCAGGGGATGCCTCCTCCCTTGACAGCAGCCCCAGTTCCATCCGCCTCCAGCTCTCAGAACTCACAAGTTCCCGAGAAACCTCGACCAGCACTGCTGCCCACCCCTGTGTCTTTTGGTTCAGCCCCACCCTCGGTTTACCATCCTCCACTGCAGTCAGCCCTTGGCCCATCAGACCAAGTGAATTCCAAAGCTCCTCTGAGCAAGTCTTCTCTGCCGTACAGTTCGTTCTCATCCGAGCCAGGACTTGGGGAGTCTTCAGCTGCTCCATCTCAGCCACTCACTGCAGTCAAGGATATGCCAGGGAGGTCAGGTGGACTGCTTCCAGATCCTCCTAGAAGCAGTTACTTGGAAGGTCCAAGAGGCCCAAGGTAGGTCTTCCTTTTTATTTGGGGAGGGGGTGGGAAGTGGTGGGGGGTGGATGATGGCTGTTTTGCTGGTGTAGGTTGAGTAGGGTTTTACATTCTGTTTGTACTTTTATATACATTCCTGGTTTACAATGAATAATGTTAGTATTGTTCACTCTTTAGACATGGCATAATGAAATCTAGAAATGGCAACATACTGCCTTTCCTTGATGTCGCTGCTTTTATCCTGTATGTAGAGATTTTATTCCAGGATGAATGTAGTGGTTTTAAAGTAATACTTACCAATTTTTTAGTGACTTTGACTTTCAGCTTCAAAATCATTATTTATTTATTGATCTTTTTTACTCTTTGTTGATTTGACAAATAAATGGATAGGTAACTTTTTTTGTGAGATGATGTGCTAGCTGTTGCAGATAAAAATGAGTAAGTGTCTAGTGAAATAGGCAGTGAAATTTAAGGGTAAACAGGACTTTTATCCATTTGTTCAGCAAATATTAAGTTTCTGCTCTGTGCTTCTAGCAGTGAATATAACATAACAGATAAAATCCCTGCCCCCATGGAAATTTTATCCTTTATATTTTCCTCTATTTAAGAGATGTTTTTCTCTTGTCTGAACCACATTTTTATTTAGAAAAGCACAAAAAATATTTACCAGTAGTTTCTAAATTTCTTCTTTTACCTTTTAAAAGGGGTTAAGTTTATTTTTCCAAATTTGTAGAAATATTTTTCCCCAAAGTTGGCCTAAATGATAATTTTCTTATAGAAAAGCATTTTCAATCAGAATTTTTTCCAGTTGAAAATTGTACTGGAAATATATGCTCCTTACACAAAATTTAGACAGAATAGGAAAGTATTGAAAAAAGTAAATGTCACCTAATTCTACCACCTGGACATAATTTTTAAAACATATGTCATAAAAAATTGAATCATACTAAGTAATATTATTTTGTAACTTGATTTTTCACTTATCAGTATTGGTTAGTTTTCCATCTCAGTGTCGATGGATCTACATTACCTAAATTCAATATTTGAAAACAAAATATGTCTTTTATTTATTCGCCAAGTTTATATTCAGAAAACAAAACTCCATCCAAAAATGAAAGCTAATTAGAGGCAATTGACATGAATTCCTCTGAGAACCAGAAGCCTTGTCAGAGGCATTACATATATTATCCCGTGGAGTCTTCTTGATAGCCTGTAAACTTGACAGGTTTATCCCTACATTTACCCTTTACAAACTAGGGCTGGAGAGGATTCGGTATCTTGCTCAGGATCATGAAGTGGGGGAGGTGAACCTGCATCCAACAGTGGGGGCTGAGTTCAGAGGGTCCCACGAGCAAGAGTGCTAGTTAAGCACTGTGTTTAATGCTGTGATTCAGTGATGTTCATCCTGTCAGTGATTAGAAGTGCATTTGTAGTCTTGGTTTATTTGGCATGTGTTTCATCTTGATTTGAATCCTACTTAACTCCTGGATTGAGAGCATTACCTTTTAGATCTGGTAACTGACTTGTTGTGTGACATTCTTGTAACCTACGTTGTTCCTATACAACATAGGTTTCCTTCTCCCTTTCTTTCTGGCATGCTAATGTTTTCTCTCTTCTGCCTACCAAAATCTTAATTTTGTAAATTTTGGACCTATTTTACGTTTTTTCTTGCCTTAAGATACAGTTAATAATTTCAGCACTAGGAGGATCTTATCAATTATCTAGTGTAATTTTCCCTCTATAGCAACTCACCTTGGTGTTGCGTTTTAGTTTGTCATCCTGGGTCTTGCACGTTACCTTATTTGTTCTTCTCCGTCATCTTATGAAGTAAATGGGTAAAGGGAGCTGAGGTTTGGAGAGGTTATATATAAATTGCCTCGGATGTCATAGCAAATAAATGGCTGAGATGGGGTTAGGATCCAAGGCTTTCCGATCCACTCTTAAGTCCGTTGCTCTTCCTGTGACAAGCAGTTGATGGACTCTGCTCCAGCATTGCCACTGCAGTAAGCAGCACTGCCCTATACGGTGTTGGCAGTTTTCTGGAGATTTTATTTCTTACATTGAGCATAAATATGTTAGTTTGACTTCTACATGTTGATTCTAGATCTGCCTGTGTGGCGCAGTACACAGTGGCTTACCCTGTTCTGCAGGGTGTGCCTGCCATTGTTTAAAGACCGTCCGCTTGTCTCCGTCCACCGGCCTTAGCCATTCTGCTCTGCCATCACATAAGCTGAAGTTCTCTTCTCGTCACACTAACATTGGTTCTAGCTTTCTGCTGTAATGTTCATGGTCCCTAGCTTTCTCCTGCTTTACTGTTTATGGTCCTCTGAAGAGCTCTTGGTTTGTCAGTCTGCTTCAGAATGAACACGTACTTCAGATGGAGCAGACCATAGGCTTGTTACTGACTTTGACATAGTGTACTTATATAGCTGAACATACTGCTTTTTTTGGTGGGGGTTCAGTACTCTCGTGGTGTTGACTCGTGTTGAGCATAATATCAGTTTGGCCTCCCAGGTCTTTTTCATCTTACTGTTCTTAAACCAGTTCTCTCTCACCCTGAACTTGTACGGTTTTTTGTCTTTTTTCTTTTTTCCAAGACTTTACATTTTGTCTAGTTAGGTTTGGGCCTGCATTCCAGTCTGCTGAAATCTTGGTAAATGGAGGTTACATTGCTTTTAGGTATGAGAAACCCTTTCCCAGCTCTTTTCCACCTGTAGCTTTGATAAGAATGGCATTTTTTGTCCCTGAATTAGATGCTGCTCACATTTTTTACCTTAATCCTGCTCACAGTTTTCTAAAAAATCTGGATTTAGACTGCTTTTTAAAAACTGAAGGTTTACAAGAAGTCGAGTAACATAACTGCATTGTATGTAAATAGCATACCACATTGTTGAGCATCTGAGGCAGCTTTTTGAAACTGTATATGTGTGTATGTATCATTGAATTCACCAGGTCTTGTAGAACACTACCCCTGCTCCAGTAAACTGTGATGTTAGTAGATGTTAGTTTCCAAGGGTCTTTTAGTTTCAGTAATAAAACTATTTTATTGTACATACAGAGATGTACAAAATCATAAATGTATACCTTAGTAAATTTTCGTGAATAGCTAGGCTATTCATGAAATAGAAATCAAGAAATAGAAATTAAGAGTGTCTCATGCAGCCTCAAAAACGACAAAATGATCTCTCTTCGTTTCCAAGGCAAATCATTCACTGTCATGGTAATCCAAATCTGTGCCCCAACCAGTAATGCTGAAGGAGCTGAAGTTGAACAGTTCTTTGAAGACCTACAAGACCTTCTAGAACTAACACCCCAAAAAGATGTCCTTTTCATTATAGGGGATTGGAATGGAAAAGTAGGAAGTCAAGAAACACCTGGAGTAACATGCAGATTTGGCCTTGGAGTACAGAATGAAGCAGGGCAAAGGCTAATAGAGTTTTGCTAAGTGAACGCACTGGTTATAACAAACACTTCTTCCAACAACACAAGAGAAGACTCTACACATGGACATTACCAGATGGTCAATACCGAAATCAGATTGATTGTGTTGTTTGCAGCCAAAGATGGAGAAGCTCTATACAGTCAGCAAAAACAAGACCCGGAGCTGATTGTGACTCATATCATGAATTTCTTATTGCCAAATTCAGATGTAAATTGAAGAAAGTAGGGAAAACCACTAGACCATTCAGGTATGACCTAAATCACATCCCTTACGATTATACAGTAGAAGTGAGAAATAGATTCAAGGGATTAGATCTGATAGACAGAGTGCCTGAACTATGGATGGAGGTCTGTGACACTGTACGGGAGACAGGAATCAAGACCATCCCCTAGAAAAAGAAATGCAAAAAAGCAAAATGGCTGTCTGAGGAGGCCTTACAAATAGCTGTGAAAAGAAGAGAAGCAAAAAGCAAAGGAGAAAAGGAAAGCTATACCCCTTTGAATGCAAATTCCAAAGAATAGTAATGAGAGATATGAAAGCCTTCCTCAGTGATCAGTGCAAAGAAATAGAGGAAGACAATAGAATGGGAAAGACAGAGATCTCTTCTAGAAAATTAGGGGTACTAAGGGAACTTTTCATGCAAAGGTGGGCTCAATAAAGGACAGAGATGGTATGGACCTAACAAAAACAGAAGATAGTAAGAAAAGGTGGCAAGAATACACAGAACTATACAAAAAAGATCTTTACAACCCAGATAATCACAATGGTATGATCACTTACCTAGAGCCAGACATCCTGGAATGCGAAGTCAAGTGGGCCTTAGGAAGCATCACTATGAATAAAGCTAGTGGAGGTGATGGAATTCCAGTTGAGCTATTTCAAATCCTAAAAGATGATGCTGTGAAAGTGATGCACTCAATATGCCAGCAAATTTGGAAAACTCAGCAGTGGCCACAGGACTGGAAAAGGTCAGTTTTCATTCCAGTCCCAAAGAAAGGCAGTGCCAAAGAATGCTCAAACTACTGCACAATTGCAGTCATCTCACACGCTAGTAAAGTAATGCTGAAAATTCTCCAAGCCAGGCTTCAACAGTATGTGAACCGTGAACTTCCAGATGTTCAAGCTGGTTTTAGAAAAGGCAGAGGAAACAGAGATCAAATTGCCAGCGTTCGCTGGATTATTGAAAAAGCAAGAAAATTCCAGAAAAACATCTATTTCTGCTTTATTGACTATGCCAAAGCCTTTGACTGTGTGGCTCACCATAAACTGTGGAAAATTCTTAAAGAGATGGGAATACAATTGACCACCTGACCTGCCTCTTGAGAAACCTGTATGCAGGTCAGGAAGCAACAGTTAGAACTGGACATGGAACAACAGACTTGTTCCAAATAGGAAGAGGAGTACGTCAAGGCTGTATATTGTCACCCTGCTTATTTAACTTATATGCAGAGTACATCATGAGAAATGATGGGCTGAAGGAAGCACAAGCTGGAATCAAGATTGCCAGGAGAAATATCAATAACCTCAGATATGCAGATGACACCACCCTTATGGCAGAAAGCGAAGAAGAACTAAA